CCTATTACCTTGGCATCGAGGTCAAGCAATTGGATGATGGAATCTTCATCTCTCAACAAAGATACGCTAAGGAAGTTCTTAAGAAATTTGGCATGGAGAAGTGCAAGCCAATAGCCACCCCCATTGAATATGGAGCAAAGCTCTCAAAAGATTATGAAGGAGATGTTGTAGATCCAACTCACTTCAAGAGCCTTGTTAGAAGCCTACGTTATTTAACATGCACAAGGCCTGATATTCTCTTTGCTGTGGGACTTATCAGTCGATTTATGGAAGCACCTACTACGACACACTTGAAGGCTGCCAAGAGGATACTTCGCTACATCAAAGGTACTATTGATCTTGGCTTGTTATATTCCTCATGTGATGACTTCAAGCTTGTGGGATTCAGTGATAGTGACTGGTCCGGAGACTTGAGCGAACGAAAAGTACTCTGGATTCGCATTCTTCCTTGGCAACACCGCTTTACATGGGTTTCTAAGAAACAACCTATAGTCACCTTGTCATCATGCGAGGCCGAGTACGTAGCAGCAGTATCATGTGTATGTCATGCTATCGGCTCGGGAGCATGTTGAAGGAGTTAAGTATGCCACAAGGAGAAGCGACAGAGATATATGTTGACAACAAGTCACCATCGATCGGCAAAGAATCCAGTCTACCATGATCGAAGCAAGCATATTGATACAAGGTACCACTTCATAAGGGAATGTGTGGCCAAGAGGATCGTTGAGTTGAAGCATACAAGATCACGTGATCAAGTTGCAGATATTTTCACCAAACCACTCAAAGGAGAAGACTTTGCAAGATTGAGGATGATGCTTGGAGTCACCAAATCAAGTTTAAAGGGGAGTGTTAGTAAGTAAACTTAATTTGGTTCAATTAATATTGGGTTATCCAAAATTATTAACTTGGACCATGAATCTTTATGTTTAATCCTAAGCCCAAGTCCAATGAAGAATTGTCTAGATAAGAAGATATCTAGAAGTAGAAAGTTCTAGAAATATTCTACATAAATATCAAGAGTATGTAGAATAATTCATGGAAAATATCTAGAAGAAATATCTAGATATTAGTAAGGAAAAGTCTAGATATTAGAATAAAATATGTAGATATTTAGAAGGAGTAGAAACATCTTGAAAGAGTGTAGAACCTTCCATGCACTCCTATAAATAGGAGTTAACCCCCTAATGTAAGTATGTGTAGAGAGTTGTGAGAAACCTTAAACTAAAAGCTTATCACACTCCACCTTGTTTCCTTTTACTACAAAGTAGTAAAGCTCCCTTTCTCCCAAAATTTCCTTCTCTTCCATTTTCACTTCCCAAACCTATCACTTAAAAGATCTCTTCCTTATAACCCAAAGGGTTCTTTTGCTAACAAACTGGTCTCAACCCTTCTTGCTTCTGTTCGACTTTATTTGGTTGTCCCCCCCTTTGTTGCTTTCTTCTGTAGAGAAAGGGTTTTCACCGTCTTCAAGTAGTGTCAATCTTCTTCCTTGCCCAGGCGACGGCAGTCGCTAGCCGTCATTCCCGAAGCCAATATCGGCTTTTAACGTCCATCGTTGGCTTAGGCGCGTGGCTAGCACTTCACCGTCTTGTCGGCGGCAAACGCTCCATGATAAATCCACTCCTCGTGCTAGCAGCCGGGAGTAAGAAGACGAAGACGAGTTTTACGTCGGGCGGGAAAAGGGCCAGAAATTGTAGAAATTTTAAAATTTTGTAATTAGGTCCCTGTTCTTTTAATTATTTACAAATCAACCTCAAAGTTTGAAAATGAGGCAATCAGACCCGGATGAAGATCTTGAGGAGCTTGTACATCATTTGAAGCTCTCCAAGGCTATTGCCAGGCTATAGACCTATGCAACTACAAAGATAAGTGTTCTTAACCACTTTATCACCAATTGATGGTCTATTTTCTTAAATAATTTTATTTGGGGAGAGGAGTTGGGTATGTGGTTATACATATTCTTCCTTGCTGCTTGATTATAAATTCAACTGATGTTTGAATCAACATAGCCAATACAAATACACCATAATGGCATGACATATAAAGAGTAGAGCCATCATGGTTCATTTGCTCTTTGTGCTTTCGAATATGGTTCGTACTTGATTATGTGCTATGTGCCCCCTTACTCTCGGAAATATGAGGAAAAGGAAATAAAACTATTTAAAAAAACATATACTTGTTCTTGGGTAATATATCTGTGTTTGGTGGCTTGAAAAGGTGGGTTATTTTCTGAAAATTTGATCATGGGACGATCTACCCTTCACTTTGAAAAACCATTTTGAAAATAGATATAATCCCGTTTCCAAAGATTCGTCTTATTGAAGGGATTACATGCCTTTTATATTAAACACTTGCATTCGTGTCGTGGCCAAAGATGTAACCTGTCTCTAACAACTTTGTTAACAAGTGTACGGGGTTGGCATATGTTATACTCTTAATTGCCTTTGTTTATACTTAAAACAAAAGGATGACCCCATTGCAAAATCAGGATGCTATGCAGGGCTTCACAAGCCCGAGGATGAGGGCGAGACCTTCACTGTCCTAGGGCGAAGCTACAGTCCGAGATCAAATGCTTGTAAGTCCGAGGCACCATCCTAGTCCGAGGACACCCACGAGTCCGAGGACACTCACATGTCCGAGGCTATCATCTTAGTCCGAGGACGAGGACGAGCCCTTCACTGTCCAAGGGTGAAATACAGTCCGAGGGTGAAGGCTCCCAAGTCCAAGGATGCCCACATGCCCGAGGACGCCATCTCAGTCCAAGGACACCAACATGTCTGAGGACGCTATCTCAGTCTAAGGATTCTCATATGTCTGAGGACGAAGGCCATCAGATCGAGGACGAAGGCGCCAAAAAGTCAGCAAAACCCGGAGGATCCCCGTGGCCTTGGAGCTTTTTACAAGTCCGTCTCGACCCCCTGCGTGGCCTCCACGGCCTGCGGAACTCCTCCAGCCCCCGTGGCGTTGGAGCTTTTTACAAGTCCGTCTCGACCCCCGTGGCCGACGGCACCGCGTGGCTCCGCGGCCTGCAGAACTCCTACGGCCCCCGTGGCCTGGGAGCTTTTTACAAGTCTGTCTCGACCCCCGTGGCCGACGGCACCGAGTGGCCTCCGCGGCCTACGGAACTCCTATGGCCCCCGTGGCCTTGGAGCTTTGTACAAGTCCGTCTCGACCCCCATGGCTGACGACACCGCATGGCCTCCACGGCCTGCAGAACTCCTACGGCCCCCATGGCCTTGGAGCCTTTACAAGCCCGTCTCGATCCCCGTAGTTGACGGCACCGTCGGACCCCCGCGGTCTACGACACTCCTACAGCCCCCATAGGCCTTGGTACATTTGAACCTGTCTTACCTTCCAGAAAGCACCAGTTCGAGCGCAGATGCTACTTGACAGCCTAGAGGTGCCAGAAGGTCTTTCAAATCGAGTGGACCTTCCCGAGACGATGGTCCAATCCTGCCACACTTAATGACCAAATGAGTGGCATTACACCCCATAAATCGGGTACGTTACATCTTCTAAGTAAGACCTTTTGAGAACGTACCATGATTTCTCTTTATCTTGAAAATCTGGAATATGATAAATTTTCATGTACTCACATTCATTCAAACGAATGGCAACACAACGAACATCATAAAACTCACACGGTTTCGACCATCCTTAGGGTTTGAAACTCACTGGCGTAGGTCAACCTTTGAGTTTGATAATCGTACGATCTTAACTCGCCTTCAAATTATACACTCATTTGGTTCTGACCAGACTAAGTTAACAACCCTTACAGCATCAATCAACCCTCTTAATTTCATATTCTCTCGACTCTGGCTCTCTCTCTTGAGAAAGGTACACGCACGTACTTGATCAGCCTAGGGTCGTGCAAACTACATTTGGGCCAAGCGTGGCCCAAGGACGTTAATCACTTATGTAACTTCAATCAATTGATGAGCCAACATAAGCGATTACTAAAGAAATTTTCACACATCGGTTTCAAGAACCAATAGGAGTCTAAAATGGTACTCTTATTCCTCCTATCATTATAGCCTGCAAAAGTACACCGTCGACCCTTGTGGCCGATGGTGCTCCTAGGGTCCCTTGGGCAAGTGGAGCTTTTTCAATACCGTACCGGCCCCTGTGGACAACGTCACCTATTGCCCTTCGGGCTTACAGCTTCTTTATCACACTGAAAATCTAGGCAAATTTCATAAGCCCATGCACAAAAACACGCTTCTGAAACGTTTCCGAATATAAAACTCGGGGGAAGGGACGTAAATTATCCTCTAAACGTCTAACAAAAGTTTTATATATGTGAAACGAGCATAAAATGTCCAAACAACATAGAAGAAAACGAAGTAAATAAATGAAAGGAAATAAAAGGTACAAAAGAATGTTAGTCTAGCACTTCCTACAAATACACTCGCCCTGGCAACTAAAGCCGGACCTCCTCCCGATTAGGATGACCCTCATCCTAACTCATGAGAGAGCTTGGTATATATCCACCACTCAGCCTCGCATATAGGTGATGCATGGTCATCCCACATTCGGGGCAAGAACCGGTCCACTGGGATTCGAAGTCGTATTCCTTACCTTTTTCTGCCACAAAATAGGCAGCGTCTTCCAATGCTGACCGCAGCTGACCAGTGTACGTCCAAAACAATGCTATCCTGTCGAGGGCTCCGCCCCACTTCACGACTACTAATGCTTTAGCCCTCTGAAGGTGAACCAGAACGCTTTCATAGTAGTTACGTGGGACGAAGTCTTCAGGGTCGGGTTCTGGTAGGCTGTCTTCCTTCTTCTTCTTATCTTGGCTTCGAAAGTCATTAAACGTTCGTTAGCCAACATCTCTAGTTGAATTGAGTTTTTCATGTGGCCTTCCCAATATGCCTCGGAATCCCTCCATAACTTGTCTAGGCGCCTGTTTTTGCCTAGGCGCCCGTTTTCTGCCTACATCTTCTGGATACCAAGCGGGCCTCCTTAAGCTCTGCCGCACAACTCAAATTCAACTATGGTCAGGCCTTCGGATCATAAGAAGAGTCGGACAAGGTCATACCTATCCAAGAAATTCGAAGGGTTTCTGACTTCCCGGGAGTCAATGGCATGCTCCTTGATCTTCCTTTGGACACATGTTCATGCCCCGAGGAGGTAGTCTTCTTTCCCTAACATAACACACTGAGCATAATAAATTATCAGTTGGGTGAAACAAATTCACAAAATCACACAAAGTAGCTGAGCTTTGGCTTCACAAAGCATCGCGAGAATAAGAATTGTCTGAGCACAAAGACACCTGGTGGGTCGAGATTGGTACTATTAAAGAAAATACACTTAAAATTAAATCACAAGGGAACAATCAATTACGAGTGGAAACCCTCTTTCTGCGTGTTGTTTACCTTGTTGCCATTTTCTGGCATCGGATTCAGTGGGCATCCCCTCGTTGCCCGAACTCTCCGAGTCCTCTTTTCCCTGGGTCGTCTCAATTTCCTTGCACTTGGATTCTTTCACTTCATCATCCGGCACCAGACACGTCCTCAGCATGGTCTGAATGCCGTTCGGCATGGTGAAGATGAAGAATGGATCCTGAGGGATGTTCGAGGTGTCCCACGGGCAAGTTATGGAGGGGCAAAGCTGGGAGATATTTTGTGCGACGGGGAGAGCCTAGAAGTCCATGTCTAGCAAATGTTTTCGGACCTTACTCCGGAGCCTTATCGTGGAGGTCCTCCCCTTCACAGCCCGATCAGTGTATTTGTTCGACCAGGGCTGGATTTTCTCCTTCTTCTTTTAGGGCTTCTTGATGTCCCCCACAGTGTCGCTTGAGCCCTTTTTCATAGCTGGTCCATAACCTCATCTGTGCGGAGGGCGAACACGCGAGGCCTTAAGTGCCTCTTCACGCCGACGACTATGTTCTTATCGAGGTAGGACTTGGGAACGACCGAGGCCTTCGGCTCTCCTATTTGCGCGGTGAGGGCTGCGGTCGCCTCCTCCAGCTTCCTGTGAGCCGACACTACTTTCTCTTCAACTGGGCTTTCTCAATTTCGAGGGTCGACACCACCGATTCCGCGTTCTTGACCTTAGTAGCTTCACTGAAGACCCTTTTCCTTGCCGAGAGCACTTAGCGTTCCAGGGTCGTACATACGCTCACATAAGATCCCAATCCTTGCACGACCTACCTCATGAAGATGATGGTCAACATTCTTTTAGGTCGTATAGCGTGGATCGAAGGGAGAACACTTACTTGCTGCTTGCAATCCTCTATCTGTTTCTCTGTGAGTGCGGGTGCGTCGTGGCAAGCTGCCGTCGTTGGGTTGAGCAGAACCCAAGCTTGGCCCTTGGGCACATCGTCAGGACGGCTTATTTCCCTTGCATGATCCTCGTAGCCATTCCGTAATCTTCGACTCGTTACATGGTCCTCCTGGGATTGTAGTGGAGTGAAGGCCTAATGGTTGGCATCGGTCGCCCTCTTGCGCAGGCGCGGTCTCCTGCCTTGGCCCGAAGACATTTCTGAAGACGCCCTCTTCTTCAGTGTTTCTTTGCGCCCCTTCTCCTTTATAGGATCGGCTGTGTTTTTCCTGTCAGGTCCGCGGCCACAACCACCTGGACGTCCTTACTGTGTTATCCTACCTATCAGGTGTCTGTTATATCCCTCTGTTGGTACCTGGTCAATGTCAGATCTTGAATTTATGCTCCTAAACATTAGTCATTCAATAATGATTTCTCTCGGCCTCTCATGTGCCGACACGGGTTGTAATTAGCTTACGCTAAGTCCATAAAAACCTTTTGACCTTTCTTAAGCCATCATTATTAGCTTTAGCTACTCGGCTGCTTCATCAGCCTTGGCTTATTTCCAGTGAGCTTTTGGCTCCTCCTACGCTCGTTCTCGTCCATTGACATTTAGAAAATGTTCTTCGATCTGTCTCGAGTCACTCTACACTATGTGTCTCGGGTTCAGACAAAAAGTTGGGTTAACCTCGGGCTTGAACTTTTCCTTACCTACCCATTATTGACCGATCGTGTAGCGGTTATGATCTTCGGCCTATCAGACCTCAATGAGGTCTATCCACGCTGTTATTCCAACCTATCACGTGTCGTCACAAGCCTTGATGTCACCTCTTCCGGAAGAATTCTTCGTAACCTTCTCTCTCTTTTGGCCTCTTTGTTGGGTCGGGAATGAACTCCCCAAAATGGTATGTGCCTCTCCACTCTGGTGTCTACACAACTGGCGCATTTGATTTCGGCTTATCTCTGGGGCATGTTTGATAACCAAAGGCGAAGGTCCCCTCGACAAGGGTTCGACGTGCTAATGTTTTACACTCAGATCACATTTACCTGTCATTACTCTTCAGCCATTATGAAGGTTTGTGTTTTGCCTAATCAGGTGGATCCATGAATGGACATCTCCCCCGTGAGCCCGGCCTTCATGTCTATTTTTATTATTTGCCAAGCATTGTGTTTCACACTTATTATTACATATATGTGTTTCTCCACTAACACTTGGCACGGGCACTTGTTGAGGGTCAATTCTGACCGTCCCAAATGAAGCTGCACCTGTCGGACGGACCATGGATCTTCACTTGGGCCAACAACCACTCATGGGTCCTAAAATATTCCTGTATGGCTAATTGGGCCATTTAAAGCCCTGACAATGACTCAAACCCATCTTGAAAAAGGAATATTCTCAGGGAATATTCCCCTCACCTTATCTATATATACCCCATTTTTGGTGGTGGGGAAGGGGGCTCACTTCCACTCCCTTCCTGGCTCACACGCTTTATTTCTATCACTCCTTAGACTGACTTGCTCGTCGGAGTGCTAATCCTTGTTTTTCAGGTCTCAGGTCTATAGATACCGTTGACTCTCGCCTTAACGGATTTCACTTCGACACACCCCTCCCACCCAATCACGAAAACTAGAATCTACAATACATTAATCAGTCTTAGAAAAATAGTCCAAATTGAATTCGGAAATACCGGAAATGCACAAAAAAGGTGCAATGCGGATTACACATTTATTTGGAAACCATAATGTTAGACCGATTTTCAATCCTAGCTAGCTTAAAGTAAAGTGCAAAGAAATCACATAAACGTATTGGACTTAAAAGTAAAAACAAGTGAAGGATAAACCAGTATTAAAGATATGAACACAGTTTTTCTCCAATTCCACCTCCAAATTTTTCTCTAAGTCCAAAGCCAAACTCCAGTCGCTAGATAAACCAAATTTACAGACCAGTGTTTTCAACCCAAGTTTCAACTAAGAGCTACATTTTAGATAAATGTTACTCCACATGTTTTTGGGTCCCATGTCGTATCTATGAAAATGTCCACAAAAAACCAAGACTTAATAAAAAAATTTTGTTTCATATCATAAATTTACAAAAGTAGTAGTAAAAAGCACATGAAGTATACTATAGAAGTAGGTGAGTTTCACCTCAAAACTAGTTTGAAATGAGAAAAGTAATCTATGAAACTTATATTTTAATACAATATCTCCTGAATATATAACTATGTGAGACAATATAACAAAATATTTTCATTACCCTTCTTTTGTTGAAACAGTGTGAGCATCCCAAAACAGTGTAAAGCCTAAATTGTGGGTGTAGTAATCTGAATCTAAGGTTAAGCTTAAATCTCTATGGACTAGAAATTTTCAATTGTACTTTGTTGATTGATTTTACATTGAATGACTTGTTAAACAGGATCGCCTAGCGACCCATAAGGTAACTAAGTTTTAAACCCATAAAATGAGATTAATTCGTTTGGACCGAACTCAATAATCTTAGAACTCGTGCATTCGGAGATGGGCCCTTGAGACCAGGAGAGTGATAGAGTTGATCAGCAGGTAATAAATTTGTTAACAGAAAAGATTCTTTCTCTCTCTATAGCTAATCCTCTGTAATCCCACACTAAGTAGTACACCAAGGTTCCAGCTCCGGTCCAAATGGACAAGGAGATGACTGAAATGCTCCCCACCAATCATAACAAAGATAACCCAGCTACAACAGCAGTCAAGAATCGTGATTCGACAACATCCATACCATCTGGATCGACTCCAACTGCCCCAACCCAAGTGAACCAACCCCTGGCCGGAAACACAACTCCATTTAAGGGCATTCCATCTTTTAAGGACAGATTACTCCATAATCAACAAAGCCAATTTACAAATGGGTTCCACATGACTTCCGTCAAGTTAGAGGAAGTTGACGTGATCTATGGTGAAGAAGATGGACTCCCCTCAACCAGATTCTCGGACAGGGTTCAACACCAAATCACAACAACAATGACTTACACTATAGTGGTGAAACCCCTGGGTCTGGATATTCGTCGTGACCGACTTCAAAGAAGGCTCAAAGGTCTCTGCAAGCTCATGGGTTAACTGAAGCCGGTGGATACTGTTGACGGATACCACTTCATGCGCCTCAAAAACAAAGATGTCTGCACTTCTCAACGGCCCCTAGTCACTCGATGAATATTATATCATAGTTCTCCCATGGACAGATGAATTCAACACCTAGAATGAAAATATAAGTGCAGTACCAACCTCGATTAGAATCCCAGGGCTCCCAATCAAGTACTTCCACGCAGACCTCCTACAAGGACTCGCCAAACCTCTGGGAAAGTTTATCAAAGCTGACAGACACACAATTACTGTGGAGCGTGGACAGTTTGCACGAATTGCCATTGAATTAGACCTCACCAAGCATTTAAATAGAAAAACAAAGATTGATGGGAAAGTCTACAATATTGAGTATGAAGACCTCCAACAAATCTGCTACTCCTGCGGTAAATATTGACACTTGAAGAATGCCTGCTCCGAAATTCCGGCCACTTAAATGGCAGACCTCTGGCGACAGCCAGAACCATTAGGGATAGACCCACCAAACAACGGTAACAATGGACAATCCCACCCCCTCACAGAAAGTCAAACGGTCAACTCACCTAACGTTTCGGTGGCACACACCCCAATGACAAACCAACGGACCACTACACTAGGTGAGTGGAACCACGCTTCGGAAAGGAACCGAAGATCCCAGCCAAACTCATGGGCCAACCGGCTACGATCCTTTCCATTAACCACCCCTCAAGGACTGTTGCACAATCCCTTCGCCGCCTTGGCTAACATGGATGGTATTTCAAGCAACCAAACCCCTGTAGCAGGGGAAAACCCATCCCCCTCAAACTGGCCCCCATTGCAAACGACCTTTGCCTCCAAAAACCCTGACCCAACTCATAAGGTCCAAAACACAACCAACATGTCCAGCAAAAGAAAACTAGAAGCCTTGGGCCGTGAAAGATCTTAGATTAAGAAACCTTCCAAGACCACCCCAGAATCTCCCCCACCGCCTCTTCCAACTGAATCCAACCCAGCTAACCCTGAAATCCACCCAACCCAACCCAATAACGATGAAAACTCCTTGATAACCATCCTAGAAAGCCCAACTGACCCAAACATCCCTAAACATACTGCCATCTTTCTGCCACACCCAAACCCACCAACCCCCAAAATGAAAGAGCCACACACTCAGCCCACATCTCTGCCAAACCCCTCGCTAGACCTCCCTGCGA